TTACACCTATTGAACTCAGTGTGTCTGGGCATGATTACTCTCTATTTCTTGGTCATGCACTCTTCCAGGAGGGGTGGCATAAAGAGAGTGAGGGCACACGCAGAGGTAAGCCATGGTCCTCCTCACGGGGACCCGCTCGCTTCAGCGACTGCCCACCAGACTCTCCTGTCCCAGCTGTCCTCCTTTTTAGTTCCCTTCCCACTTTCCAGAAGGACCTGGGATCTCCCACTGGCCTCTTTGGCCGTTGCATCTGCTGCCCAGTGGTGGAACCTGCCTGCTTAAGTCTTACTTATTAACTATACACAGATATGGCAGACTGCGATTACAGTAGAATTATTTGGGAGCTCAGTATCTTACTTCTTCCCACGAACCTTACCCTGGGAATTGCTTTGTACTTTCATATGGCCATGTGGTGGTGTGTCTTTAATAACCATCAATAAAGATAGGCTTGGGAAAACACGGACAGCCACAGATTCCTCTAAATTCACCTGACTGCAACAGAGCAGGGCTGTCCGCAAGGGTATCCTGGCTGCCCAGAGGTAGTCACCAGGAGTGGTCAAAGTTAACCCAGCTCTGATTCAGCAACCAAAGAAAATGGGAGCCCTCTGAGGGCTCCATGACATTGCCAATAAAATATACTTAAGTTAAAGTTCATTTATGCAATTATTCTTCAAATATTTGAAGGTTAATTCAAGTTAAGTTCGGATCATTGGAAATTGGGTGGTTTAAACCCCTGACTGTATTGTCTGACTACCATCAACACAGGCTCACCAGGCACAAAGAAAGTAAGCCCAGACTCCTCCCATCTGTCTGATGACAGGTACTTCTAGACACGCCATCGAGGTCTGTCCCAGGTGCCAGACTTTGAGGGCAGGTGAGGAGGGTGCAGAGGGTGGAAGGGCCACCCCGGACAACGATGTCAACTACTTGAACGCGGTTACTGGGCCCTCTGTGACTGTGGGAGCCCGGCGTGGTGAGGCCCCAGCTGGATACATGTGTGATACGTGCACAGCGTGGCGATCTCCTCGGGAAGCCAGTAACGCTCTGGCACTTTCTCGGAGCCCTCTGTGGGTCAGGCAGGCGGCCACACACCAGCACGTCACACAGCGCTCCCCTCCCCTGCTCCTCTGGCATTTCAGTCAAGGCTGGCCATGGTAGTCCGGCCCCGCAAAAGGAGAGGTTCTTTTCTCTTCCTCACAGAATGTCCCGCCCAAGCAGCCCCTGAACCGGGTCCAGGCCATGGGTTTTATGTGATGCTGACGACAGTACAGACAGCACAGAGCAAAGCTAACTAGTGAGGAAAAGTGACGCGGAGTCCAGAGTTCTACAAGGACCCTCGGTCACAGGCCTGGTCTCCCTTGCCAAGGGCTTTCCAGGAAATCCCCCCGAAGGCACTGGACGCTGAACTAAGCAGCTCCAGCCTCAGCCCAGGGGAGACTATGACCACCACCTTTCCATGCCTTTCCCAGAACCTGCTCAATCACCTACTTGCTCAGTGAGATTTCTCCTGACTTTTCTCCTCCCCCGCATGCCTCCCCCAACTTCTGACCAGGAGGAAGGACCTTTCATTTTTGCCCCAAAGATGCATCCTCTGGGTTACTAATATGCTACACCAAATGGTCCCATGTCCCGGTCTCTGGAAATCTTATTGTCGCCTGTGGCTGAGAAAGAAAATGCAGTTCTCTCCGGGCCTCTAAGCTCCCTGCCTGGCCTTGTCTCTCTAGAACAGGGGTGGGAAGGTCAGGCCCAGGGCCATATAAAGCCCAAGAATCATTTGGTCTGGCCCTGCCAAGGCATTAGGGGTGAGTTAATTAAATGTTTGACTGAATATAGCAGATGAATTTTTAAGCTGATAATTTTATATGGTCCACAAATGATGTGATAAATATCCAAATGGCCCTTGGCAGAGAAAAGGTCCCCCACCCCTGCTCTAAAGGTACTATTTTCCAGAAAACTCATCTGTCCTATATCCTGTGCCCCCAGTAGCCCGGGGCCCTGTTGAATGTCTCCTGCACTGACCACTTGAATCCTGTCTCTGCCCCCATCCTCCCACCAAAGTCTTTCTAAATCATAAGGATATATATAATGACAACATGTCGCAATGGACTAAAAAGTGTCTTGTCAACTGTCAAGTACAACAAAGCAGGGAAACAGGTACCTCCAACTCCGTGGAAGAGACCAGAAGGCCCCAACCATGCCAGCACCCACCAGTCTTAGGCTGCGTTTGTGGCGGCTGCCCGAACACCTTCTCTCATGCCCTAAGCCTGATATCCAAAAGGAAAATACAGGGTGGGCAAAAATAGATTAAATTACCAGCCATCATTACCTAAACGATGAGTCATAAGTAAGTATACAAAATAATAATAATACAAATAAATACAATAATTAATAAATAATATGAGGATGAACTGTTTCATATACTCACAGCTATAAACTTACTTTTGCCCACCTCTGTATATATTTCACATGCAAATACCATTTACTGACCACTGGGAAAATCTCTCATATTTCTCCCCTTTCCCTCTGCTAAATGTGAGTCAGCCAGCAGCTCGATGTGATCATGCCCCAAGGCCTTCACTATATCACCAGCATCACACCTTCTCTGGGCCTAACACAAGCCTCGTATTGACAGAACACAGATTCAGGGCTGGAAATATTCTCTCCCCCAACCTTCCTTTTAGAACACAAATAAAGGAAACAGGTTGGCCATTGTAAGAAGGGATGACACGAGGCAGGATGATTGTCGTATGTGGGCCCTCTAAGTGGCTTCCTACCTCCCGGGACTTGGAAATCAAGATCGCTTCTTTTCCAGAGGTTATGGAGTGATGAGCATATCCAAGAAGAGAGTTACAACGCAGCAAGCCTGAAATTTACCCGTGCTCTGTGCTGGGCATATTCTGTCATACTACCCAAATCACTCACCAGCACACAGCTGGAAAACCCGTCTTCCGTGGTAATGTTACTCACTTGCCGTAGATGGCATTTCAAAATGTTCTCATATAGAGATACAGCGGGGCGGTTTTCTGGACTGGTGGGCAGGAAACCTGAGCCTGTTCTGGCTTTGCTATGCCCTCTCTGGGAGGCTGCTTGACCTTGGGCAAGTCACTTCCTCCTGGGCTCCGTTTTTCCAGTGCCTTCAATGAGGGGCCAATTCAGCTGCTTTTTAGGTCCCTTCCCCTGCCTCC